ATTGTAAGTGGCTATTGTTCGTCCTGAACAATACTAAGGAGGGGGCAGTGTTGCGTCAGCGAGGTCACGTGACTAGTATCACGCCACGTCCTTCTAGAAATATCTTGTTCCTTCATGAATGATCTAGCATTTACTAGATATGTGTTAGTCTTGTATATATAAGACGGTCACAACATGACGGAACAGTGAATGTGTAATTGACCTGCGGAGAGAGAATATTGTTGAGCACGTGAGACGTTCGTTGAGAATTATAGCGTTTGTTATAGCGCCACTGTTGAAATTAAGTGTATCCCAAAGTTATATTCAGAAGAATAAACCAGTTTTATTTAAGAAATGACTTGTATCTGTAAAGTTTCTTCGGAGAGAATTTTTACGGAAAATTAACTAACGAACAGAAACGTAACAGTATAATGATTGTTTTTGAATTTTCGCGCAAAGCTACACGAGGGCTATCTGCGCTAGCCGTCCCTAGTCATCACCACCCACCGCCAACTCTTGGGCTACTCTTTTACGAACGAATAGTGGGATTGACCGTCACATTATAATGCCCCCACGGCTGAAAGGGCGAGCATGTTTGGTGTGACGGGGATTCGAACCAGCGACCCTCAGATTGCGAGTCGAGTGCCGTAACCACCTGGCCATGCCGGGCCCAGTATAATGAATACCTAGGCTTGGTTATTGTTGGTATAAATGACTTAAGAGACTCGGTATTTGTTGGTATAATGAATACCTAAACTTGGTTCTTGCTGGTTTAATTATTACTGAGATTGGATTCTTTCTTGTTATATGACTATTAAAACTTGGTTCTTGCTGTTTTAATAACTAGTAAGACCCAGTTCTTACTGGTTTAATGAATATCTAGGCTTTGTTCTTGCTGGTTTAATGACTACTGTAACTTGGTTTTTGCTAGTTTAATGACTATTGAGACTTGGTTCTTGCTAACTTAATGGTTACTGAGATTTGGATCTTGCTGGTTTAATGACTACTGATATGTAAATCTTGCTGGTTTAATGACTACTGATATTTGTATCTTACTGGCTTAATGACTACTGAGACATGGTTCTTGTTGGTTTAATGACTATCGAGACTTTGTTCTTCCTAGTTTAATAAAACCTTTTTTTGGTTCATGGTGGTTTTATGAATATGAAGGTTTGGTTCTTCCCGGTTTAATGAAGACATAGTCATGTTTCTTGCACAAAAAACAGTTAAGTGCAGCTACTAATTAATTCTCTTGTTAGTAGGTAGTTTACGTTTTAAATTACTGAAGGTTATATAGCAGTACTCAAAATGTGGTGTATAAAGAGTTGGAACTGATTAAAACAAGTAGTGAAACTTTGGTGCTGGAACTGTCATGCAGCAAACATACTTAGTTCTTAAATTGGACATATTCTAAATTCTTGCAAAACAGCTAAAACCTTTTAAATTACAAAAATAGCACAACAAGCAGTTAATTGTTATGTTTTATTTTTAATTCAAATAGAATGTCACTCACCTTTGTGTCAGGGTTGCTTGGAGAATCAAAACTTTTCAGGAAAAGCTCAAAGACTTCATTTTCTGTAAGTTCACCATTTTGGTACTTGGGATGATAATGAGCGTTATAAACACCTCGCAAGTCATCAACAGTTATTTCTTTATCACCAGTGCGGTCCAACTTTTGAAAAGCTTGTTCAATGAGATTCACACGTGTCTGACTCATGGGAGGCTGTAAAATCCAGGTAATTTAAGTTTTTCAAAGTCAGAGGTTATGCTGTAATTTGCTCTGGCTGCCCCTTTTCCTTCAACAATACAGATGTCCCAGCTTAGATTAAGAGGGTGTCTAATAATATAATGAGGTTATAAATTCAGGCATAGTAGTTGCGTATGGTGTTTCTCACACCTCCAAATTCTTTTGGAGGTGTGTATCCAGGAGTAGGACCGGCGTCCTAGTCCGGACACCGGGTGAACATGTTTTGGTGTGACGGGGATTCGAACCCGCGACCTGCAGATTGCGAGTCGAGCACCCTAACCATCTGGCCATGCCGGACCTAATTCAGGCATTAAGGGAGTAAATGGACTATAGTTCTCACATTTTCTGGATAAGCAAGAAAACAGTACCAAAGGAAATTCAAAACAGCATTTTTTTGTCACTTAAATTAACTTAAATTGATTAATATATATATATATACTTTATTTATTTTCATAGGTGTACGAGGTGGGGGGACTGGGGCGGTAGCCCCCCATCTTGCAATTTGGACAAAAATTGTACACCCCCTCTAAAAATTCCCCGTACATCTATGTTTATTTTTTATTATGAGGATCATTTTGTAAAGTTAGCTTAGTACATGGATTTAGAATTAATCTAACTCTCCTAAGCTAGCCGATACTTGAGAGATATTATTAGGTTTATGGCCAAAACTATATCTAACAGTGAGGGTACTAACTGATGAATTAATGTATTATAGTCGTTATAAGTAAGAAAGGTATTTTAAATTAGCTATATCTATTACTAGTTTAATTTTTAGCTCTGACTTATGTAGCTTGTTTTGATTAGAAGTTATTGATGATAAATTACAGTGGGCCCCCATTTACTTTGCATCGCTCTGTGTTGTTTCATTATTAGAGCGTTCACCAATTGCTAACCATGTATCAAACAACATTGCCTTGTTTCGTTACTAAGACAATCTCGAATATAAGGCGACCCCCATTTTCAGAAATCATGGGAAAGAAAAAAGTGTTATAACGTCTTTTTTTTAGGTCCGCAAAATCAATACTATAACTGAGCAGTCTGTAGGTGGATTAGTTGCAAAATTAGCGATGTCCTTGAGCAAACATCTGACGGGCATGCATGGACAGATGGTATCTGGACATTCAGGAATACGACAGGCCAGGTAAGGGGTTCTGTGGTCGGCCACGATTATAAGGCGATTCTGAATTTAATAGCTTAATCAGTAATCAAAAAACATCGCCCTATAATCGGACCAATATGGTACACCAATATTTTTGAAATAATATCACTTTGTTTCTTTATTAGAATGTTAACCCTCTCTGCCCGGGCATTCTTTACTACGTATGTCACGAGGGTTTTAGCGAGTTACATTCAATATGTCATTAAATTACTTTGTGTGTATGTTATAGCAATTATTATAGCATACAATCGTAGCTAATAATCTATATTTTAACAGTATAAAAGTTTTAAGTTCTTGATTTTATAATGCAATATTAAAACAAATCATGAATTTCCCCTAGTGTGAGAAATGTGAAATTTTTTTCTCTAAGCAACCCTCCAATAAATACGAAATTTAACGTAAATTACTCACTATACTATCGTCATCGCTCTGTCAAAGCATACTTATATTAGCCTTTAATCTTGTTTGGTTACAAGCTTCCTTCCCATTGGAAAAGATATCACCAGGTCGGTCAATTCGACCGAGCCTGTGTCATAATCACTCACCTCATACAAACCTTACAACCGCTACAGTACTGGTAAGTGTTAAATATAATCGATGTTTAGTCCTTTTAATGTTCTTACATGCATATTTTGTATAGTAAACTGTAGTTTAAAAAGCCACGTTACACCGTTTAAAAAAGTTATTAAAGAACGGATCGAAATTTTTAAGGAACGCATCCTCCCACAGTATGTGTAAAGATTGTGTTGCTTGACGTCGTTTCAGACGTACGTCCCATTTTCCAGGAACGCGTCGCGACGTATAACGGGCCTTCTTGTACTAATTCTCTCCTACCATTTTGTATTAATTAAGTGTTGGTTTTTAATTATTCATTTTTATCATTGTTATAACTAGAATCGGAAATTAAGTGGTTCGAATTCTAAGAGTAAAGTATTCAAAATGAAGCGAAAGCTGTTGTAACAAAAACTGACTTGTGTGGTGTTCACTTCGTTTTGGAATACAAATATAGGCCCTGTTTTAAGAACACTGTAAAAACTAAAGTAATCTTAAAACTGTATTTATCATCTTATGATTCTCATCAGGCTCTTTATATTGATACAATTGTGGCATTAAATTTGAATAATAAAGTGACCTTAAAACTTTGTATTTATCATCTTAGGACTCTCATAAGGCTCCTTATGTTGATAAAATTATGGTTTTAACTTTACATAATAAAGTAACATTAAAGCGTTGTATTATGACTCTCTTCCCGGGTCCTTATATTTATGAAATTATGGTTTTTAAGGATTAAATATTTTTGTTAGCAATAAGAATTAGTTAAAAATCGTAAAACATTTCAACCAAGAGTGTTTTGTGAGTTTTCGGAAAAAGTTTTATTTATTTGATCATACCACTCACCCGAAGAGCCTTGAGAAATTCATCAAAATTTAAATTTCCACTGTCGTCTTTGTCCATCTCACTGAATAAATTGTGAATCTCGCTGTTGTCAAGAGAAATTCCATAATCATGAAGGCCTTTAGAGAACTCATCTAGGTCCAACTTCCTGTCACAAGTATCATCCATTGTCCGAAAGGATCTAGAAAAAGAAGAAAAAACCATTAAAGACGAAAAGTAGGAATATTTTTGAACAACTATATTTATACTACATACGACAGGTGGTGTTTTCATAACAACTCCGTTTATCAACTTTCGAAAAGCAACTGGGAATACCGCTCGACAAACATTCTAAGTTCGAGAAGCATGAGCATGCTCAGGCAATACACAAGATTCGAGAAGAGGGTCTTAAGATACCAGTTCATACCATATCTGTTCAACAGTCGACTCAGGAATGTAGTCACAACAGGGAAGCAATGGCTGCGTTTGTGAGATGCGCCTACTTCTTAGCAAATGAAGAGATCTCACATAGTGTTGTGTCAGCGAGATCACGTGACTATTGTCACGCCACCTGCTT